GGGGGAGGGAGGTGGAGAGGGAAGGGGGAGAAGGGGGGAAGGGAGGGAGGGAGAGAGGATGGGGGGTCGAGGGGGAGGGAGAGAGCGGGAGGGAGGGGGAGAGAGAGAAGTAGAAGTAGAATAAATTCTGTTGATGATTTTGATTTTTTTTTTTTTGATACAAGGGATTGAACCCAGAGGGGCTTAACTTACTGAGCCACATCCCCAGCCCATTTTTAAATTTTGAGACACTGAAGCAAAGCCAGTGGAGGCACCAGCCAGTTTGCTGCAGAAGAGAGTGGTAATATTAATAGATTAAAAAAGACAGCAGACAAACTTGGCTGAGAAAAACTGTAGAATATCAAAACAGTTTGAACTTAGCTGAATCAAAGGTTGTACAGCAAGCTGGGGTCTGAAAAGTGCTGTTTCTCAACTGGCAAGTAGAGAGCTAAGGTGGAGAGGCATCTTGAAGATCTACACTGCAGTTTGCTGCTGCAGGAGCCCAGGACATACCAAACTGTCCCAGCAAATGCTTACCATATGCCTTGGATGCACCTATAAGAATGTGATTAAAACAGGCACAGAGAAGACTATATCCTAGGGGCTTCAGGTCAAAGATATGGATGGGAGTGAAACTCACTTTCCCTTTGACTCTGGTGACTCACATGACCAGGTGGAGAAGGTCAGGAAACTGAACAGGTAGATGTAATTACATTCAGACACTGACCCTGGAAGGCCACATTCAAGGGTGGTACAATGTGCCAGACCTGTGGAGGTTGGTTACCCTACCCTATGAGTAGAATTCTCAGTAGAATCCTGAGATCCAGATGCCCAGTAAAGATCAGCATTGGCCCAGCCCTAGAGATACCACCCAAAAAAGTTCCAATGTTCTGATCAGTGCTAAACATCAGCCACAAAAACCTCCCATTAGGAACTCTGCATCAGCCCTGCTCTGGGAGCGCATGAATCTAGTCTGTCCAGACAAAACTCCAATTGACAGTACTTTCCATTCCCTCCTACCTTATACTAGTGAGAAGGGAAGCTGAGAGCTATTTCAACCAGCTTTGATTCCAGGAGGCTCCAGCTGCTAGTTGCTGAGCAACACCAAAAGAAGAAAGGTTTAATGACCTACCAGCCTTTGCTTTCTCTAAGTGTTATACAGTGCAAGAAGAAATAAAAGGACAGTCTGGCATAAGCAGTGAATATCCATCCTTGTCAACAGCTTTAACCAACTCAACACATGCAATGTTTTCAGTAAGAACCCCCCACCCTTTTGGTGTTCTTGCTGTGCTGGTTGGTTCATGCCAGTACATTCAAAGCTCAGTTCAGCACATTATATTTTTTGCTTGTTTTAATCTGTGTGTGTGTGTGTGTGTGTGTGTGTGTGTGTACTTTTTGCTTTATTTTCTCCGTTGGGTATTAAAATTTCTTATTTCTTTTGTTTTTGTTTCTCTTATTACTCTCTTCCCTTTCTTCTTCTAATAGCCAAATTCTCTCTTGAATATACAAACAGCATAATATGAAAAGGGCTCTTTTTTTCAGAGCCATTAGACTTTATAAAGTAGTTGTGTTCCCAGCTTTACCACTAACTCTGTGTGGTGACCATGCCACTAACTTAATTTCTGTGGGATTAGTTTCTTGTTCTATAATTCAGCAAGTTGAACAAGATGACATCTTAGGATCTTTCAGCTCTGTAAGTCTGATTCTGAGTCAAAGGTCTACATTAATTGTTTACTTGGATAGCAAAGGATGATTCAATATATCCATTGAACAGGCTATTTATTCTCTTGAGCATAAGTATGTAAACCTCTGGCTGATGATTAAATTTGTGCCATAGGGTTAAAGAATAGCAGGAAGCAGACATTTTATCCAAATATATTTATATTTTTTCTATAGGCCTATAGATCTGCTCATTAGACAATAGTTTTCACATGTCCTGTCTATATTTTACATGTTGATCTTCCAACTAAACAATCTCTTATATATTATTACCCAAAAGAGAAATCAAACGCATGTTTAAAAATCAAAATATTACATTTTTTAAGGAAAGTATAATTCTGTTGTTTTAGGTCATAAGTAGTTGCAAACACACAAATATCACCAACATTTTAGCTCTGCCTTGCCAGGCTGCCTGAGGAAGTAAGGGAAAATTTCAAGATCTGTTCTATGCTGTAAGAGACAGCAGTGGTCCAGCCATTTACCACCTAACCCAGTCAGCCAGGAGTAAAACTTAGCAAAATAATGCTTGTAGAATGATGACTCCTATGTACCAGTACAAGAAGTGTTTTTACATATGGAGTATTAGCCATTTCACAAATGAGGACACTCAGACTCAGAGCAATTAATTTGGCTAAGGTGAAAAGCCAGTAAATGGATGGGTCAGGATTTAAATGCAGGTATACAAAAATTACAGACCAGTGCTCTTAGCATTATGCTATTCTGAAATAAGAAGATTATTCAAATGGTGACACAGCTATAATGACTGAACTCTCAACAGGTCACAGGTCAAACCGCATACTGGGCAGAGTGTACCCTTTTATTGAGCAGAATGTACCCATGAATGTATGTGAGAAACAAGATAGGGGAGGAAGGGGAAAAAGAAAGAGATACAAATGAAAGATGTACCAGAATAGCACACTCCAAAAAGAATGCAAATCATTTATATCCTAGGCCAGCCATTTTAGGGCACTTTGCACAAGTGAATAATTACTATCCATCCCGCCCAGTTGCTAGAGATGAAACCCAAGGCCTCACACATTCTAGGCAAGTGTGCTATCACCGAACCTACAGCCAGCCCAATAATTACTACTTTTAGCACACTTTAAGGCTTAACATTATATGCATAATCAACAGGCACTGTGAATCATAATGGGAGGCAAGTGAATGATCTTTCAAGTATAATAAAACAAAATGATGAGCTTTAAAAAAATAAGCTATCTTTCGGGGAACACTTACCCGACATAAAATCTGTATAAGTATGTAACCATGTATGCATATATAAATGTACCAGCTTCCTAAGAATAATAAATAATTATGTAAATAAGTACATTATCTATGTGAACATCCATTGAGTTAAAAAAAAAAAAAACTTACCTTAGATGAGACTATTCTATTATCACAAAATCTTTGTGCAATGTAAGCTTCTGTTTCTGAAACTGGATGATTGCCAACAAACACTGTGCGTGTACCAACTCGTTTCTCCTCTCCAGCACACTGATCAAGAGAAAGAGGAAAAAAGTCAACTTTATATCACATTTTTCTATGCTTCTACCAAGCTTAGAATTCTTGTCTAAGCATGTTTGGCTATAATCTGGGGAGAGACAGTAGTAGGGAAAGGAGAAATCCTTGTTAGGAAATTCAACATCTACTAAGCTTTTAGTTGCTGATTTTGGGAAGATTAGTAAACGTGTTGTTTAAACCCAACACATTGTGAGGCCAACAAGTATCATTCTAAAATAATGAAAGAAAACATCCAAAGGAGTCCAGGGAAATTCTCCCCAAAATATGGCACAGTTCCTGAAAGCAGTAAACAATACCTTTACCAGAATAGTAGCTTTGATTCATTGACTGTCTTCTGTCTGCAACCATAATATACAGGGTCTGAAACGGTTTACTGATAAAAGCAGTAAAAATTTCCCATAATATCCATTTTGCACCCTAAAGTGAACAAAACTGCAAGATTCATACTTCATTTGGCTTCACCCCTACTCCTGTCTTCTGTTGTAGTCTTTACAATAGACCTGATCCTTATAAATGCACCAATTTGAACTACAAAGAAGTCAAGTCCATACATACAATCTAATTTGCATTCTTTAACAGTCATACGGTTGTTTAGTTTTACACACAGCAAGAAGTAGCTATGAAGAAAATAAGGAAGAGCTGCCTTTCAAGCAAGTTCTCAGGTTATTCTACAAGTGGAAAGGAGCAAAGGAGGTAAAGTGTCAGTGAGGCAGGATGTTTCATGCACTGCTAATATAGATTTCTCTCCTTGATTACAGTGGCCACCGACTGACTTAAAATAAACATGAACTAGTACTTTTCCTGATTCTTAATCATCTGTGATTTCTTCTGTGCCAGAGAACATAGAAAGGAAAAGCCAAAATGCAATTTTCCAGGCATATGGTTTTTTTTATGAATTCCCTACATTTCAATGGCATTTACAGAATAAGGCCTAAGTGACCTCCATCTCAATAAATTGGAGAAAATGGATTGAAATTACTATGTTGGTAGAGGTGTGTATATTTGAGTGCAGATCCTGGCAGTGCCTGTTGTTAGATGATGATATTGAGGTCTGAAGGAAGCTGTAGAATGACCACTTCTGAGCATTATTCAAAATAGGGCAAAACAGTTCAGGCAGGTTTGTGTTTGGAGCTGCCTGGGGATTGGGGGCGAGGTAGCACGAAGTAGATGATTTTCCCATGCCTGTTTCACCCTAAAATCTGATAAACATGCAATCTCTGGGTAGACTTTTCTACAACTATTTAAAATTGTTTGGTTTACATAAAAATGGCAATTCTGAACTCATATGTAAATTCACTATAATTTTCCACTTACTTCCAATGCAGAGTGTTAAAACAGTGACATTAGTTTCTTTGATTTTGAGAAACTCCAAGGAGGAAGCATTAAAAAAAAAATTCCCATTTGGATGGTACCCAATGTAGTCTAGTGAAAGTGTATGTATGATTCCTGCCACCTCATAAACACATTGTAATTCATTAGTAGAGTCCATCCTGGACTGATTCCCATTCAAATGTCCTTAGAAACAGCATTTAAAAAAAGAAAACTTTAAGTGTTAGCAATGTTGAGAGCCATAGCCAAAGGGGCCCCAGCAAACTTCCAGCTGCCTGCTGATGATTGGCTTACAGCGGCCCCAGCAAACTTCTAGCTGCCAACTGATTGGCTCCTCTGCGGTGATGCTCATTGGGTTGTTTCCCCGCCCTTTCAGACCACGGAGCTGCTCATTGGGGGACTTTTTTTGGCTCC